TTGTAATCTTTGGGAAAAATCCTTTTTTCGGTATTTTGAAACAGATTTTTTTTGCAATCTCTGGGAAAAATCCTTTTTTCGGTGCAAGGAAGAAAAGAAATGTTGTACCCCGCGATCTCCTTGGTTCACAAGTTTTTTTTTGTTTGTTTGAGAAACTCCTTGGTTCACAAGTGATCAAAACAGAGAAGTTCAGAGTGATCTGCTTCTGGTCTAAGCCCAGCCCGGCGGCCATGGCGGCGGCCACAACAGCAGCAGCGACGACGCTTCTCCTCCCCAGCCTCCTAGACGACGTCTTCATCTGGGAGATCCTCGTCCGCCTCGACCCCAAATCCCTCCTCCGCTGCCGCGCCGTCCGCCGCGCCACCTCCACTCGTCGCTTCCTCCTCGCCCACCACGCCCGCCAGCTCTGAATGTTAATTGCTTGTCTCCCTTTCGGCTGAAGTGAAGTAATGTTGATTTGCTTTTGGAATATTTGCCAGCTGATCCGCCTCATGTGTCTATATTCTTGGCAGGAATTTACGTTGCTAGCGCTGTTCTTAGTTCTTAGCACCCTATTTCTTGAATTAAAAAATTGACATTACCATTTTTTATCTAGTTGTCTTCTTAATAGTCAATATTTATGGTGTTTCTTGTTTCTCCCCTTTGTTGAAGCTGGCGATAAACATAAGCAGATTCTTTGTTGACTCGCATGCTACATCTGATATTTTTAGAAGACCTTAGAGTATTGGTAGTTAAATTAATGGTTGCCTCATAGTCAGCTGCTCAACGAAATGTTCTGTCACAATTCATTTTTCTTGATGCATCTATTGCAGCTGGTTATATTTGACTCGATCCAAGGAGATTTAGCATTTTGTAGAAAAGACTGGTACAGCAAACTGAAATATCTATGAATACCATTTTGGGCTTCCATCCTGACACCGTTTTCCTGTTATGTTGTTTTGAGTGATCTCTTTTACTATTTCACTTTTTGTGCTAAACATTTTAAGGATCATTGCTTCATGTGATGCATGATGTGAACATAAGTTGAAGAAACAAAACCTGTACTAATAAACACAAGAAATGTTTGTCATCGCCAGGCCCAGGTTCTATAGTTTGTTCATGTCTTGAGCAGGACAGCACAGGCCTGTTGTGTGGCAATACTACTGTAGAAGTAAGTTGAAAGTCACTCTGATCATTGGCTTCATAATTTAGAAGTAAGGTGTCAAAGTAAGTTCATCATCCAGATTAATTGATGTGGCATGTGTAACTGGCGATGGATCAACAAATCTCTTCACCTTGAACTGTATCCGGTGCTCTTTGGTCCAAGCTTAGATCCTCTGTTTTTCCACGACCTTGTGACCAATCACCTTGGCGTGTCTAAGCTGAGGATGCAGAGTAGTTGTTGGAACATTGACCAGTGGGTGAGAATTGCAAGTGATTCATGGAGTGGCAGGTGTGTGCACATCTACTTGTTCTCATAGTACATCTATACATTCTTCACCTGGTATGCAGCAGCCTTAACTAGTTACCTGACACTGATGTTATTTCAGCAGCTGAATGCAATTATCAGGGCTCTACTCTAGTTTGTACCTTGTTGGTGACTTCCACAAGCCAGCATGTGAAATTAGATACAAACTCATAGTAAGGAGCTTGATACCAACAAGAGTAGAAAAAATGCAGAAAGTTGCACTGTTTTTCTCTCCCACAATCGAACTCAAACACGCTATAAAAACTTCACTAGGAGGAAGAAACCCTTCCAAGGTTAATTGATTAGTCTGCAGGAGCAGCACGGCAAGAACTTTGGACGGTTTTGTACAATGTATACTATTCTATGCAGGTAGGCGACTGGTACCGGTAATAACCTGGTTATGTTAAAAATCAAAACCATCGATTTTGTGAGGCAGAACAAGCTGTTTGTTCTTGTTGCCGAACGTCCTTTCGCGATCGTCCATATTCTCTTGACCTACACTGTCGGCTCAGGGATTCCCAACTTGCCTTGCATCAGATGTTGTTCGGTGCTTTTGATCAACAATCTAGATAGTGATCTCTATGGTTCCAGTTTTCTCTCTAGTTGTTTGTTTTGTTGAGATTACCTTTGGTGGAAGTGAAGCTACTGTACCATTTTTATCTGTTTTTTGCTTGATGTTCTCTTGGGTCTTTGTGCACTTCATACGTATACTACTCAGCAGTGCAATTTGGTGCTTAGTTTCTGAGAGTAGACTCTTTTGGCTCAATTTATGCCAACTTCTGAATTTTGCAATGTCATGTTGTCGGCAAGAATCAAGTTTCT